TCACGATTTCCGCGCAGACCACGCTTTCCTCCGATGAGACGAGGTCGAAATGATAGAGACGAGTACGACTTCCCACCCGTCGAACACCTCTTCGAAGAGTTGACGATCGATCCGCGAGACCCACGTATCAGACGAATGATGCACCATCAATTCGCAGAGGGATACGGCTTCGACCACCGATTCTCTGATCGACGTCGGAGCAGCGATGAGCGCCGAAATCCTGACGACAGAAGGCAACCACCCCGCCCCGACATCAACGCCGATCGTGGCTTCGAGCGCGGATTGACGTTGGCACGACCTGGAAGTTGTACTCTCCCTTTTCGCCGTGCATTCAAGGATCTCCACAGGGAGTTGATCCAAGCCGAGGAGTTGTACAATGCCTGTTTGTCAGAGTACGACAGCGATACCCAGAGCGTCAGAAGCTACACCCCTGTCGAAGCATTGACCCGGATCTGGACTGCAAAAGTGAGAGGAGAGCGGGATCCACAAACACTGGCAGAAGGTGAAGACCAGCAGGCCAATAACGGAAACAAGACATTTGGGGAGAGATTTGCTGAGGCAGAGGCCAAAGTCACAAGAGCTCTTCAAGCAGCTGCGACTTCAGCTTTGAGGATGCCATCTGAGCCGCACCGACTTTCGGAAAGACAACGAGTGAAATTCGACGCCTGCGAAGATTTGAAGCAAAGAGCCCACTTCGAGCTGCAGCAGCTCTTGAATTCCATGGAGAGAGCCAAAGAGAGTCGCGAAGCATGCCGACACCTGGTGAACCAACTGCAGCAGTTCAAGGAAACGGTGAATCCAGACTCGGAGTCAAATAAGGACACTTTCAAATGTAGCGATGATGATGAGGATCTCACTGCTGAGCATTTTGGAGAGTGAGCGGCTTGGGATGTCTGTGAAGGTGTACTCGCTGGGTACAAAGCTTGTCTTATTTGTGGTTGTTGAAGTCACCAAGATTTGCTTTTGTAAAACTTTGCAGTACTTTGAGGGTAGGCGGATCTGAATAGTTGGTTACGGTGTTGTTTGCAATTTGGATTCTCATGGGTACTCCTTGAAAATCGAGCATATGACTCAATTAGCAGTATCCTCGAATCTTCCTTGTGTCATAAATCGTGAAGACAGCTTACCTGAGAAAGAAAAGTGGTGGAGCGCCGTCCTCAACAGAGTAATCGGAATCGAATTGTACTCGTCTCCCAGACACCGAAGTGAAAGAGAAACTAGCACGCTGCGTATTGCACTTAAGTGTCATGCTTCGCAAAGCACACACAATCTTCGCAACGGCCCTCCCATAGGAACAAGCACTCTCCCCTTTTCTCTCCCCCGAAGGTTCGATATGTAGGATCGAGACTTGCCCTGCTTTTCTGATGCCAATTGCAGACGTCAAGTGACGCCGAACCCTCGCGGGCAGACCAGTCACCCAGCCCGGAGGCCGAGGACGTGATGATTTGAAGAGTACTCCGAATTTCTCATATGCATAAGGGACGGCCGAAAGGCCTGATATTTGCGAGCTGAGTCGACAAGTATCTGTTTGTGGCATAGAAACGCAGCGTTGAAGAGGACGACGCTGAAGAGGAAAGAAGAAAGATCACGACCGAGAATCGATTTCAAGAAAATATGATCGGGAGCGGCCGCCTCGCGCTAGCTTCGCACTAGTGCCTTTGGCGGGGAATTTATCACGTGATGACGCCACCTGTGGTGGCTGTGTGCTCTGGTGACTTTGTGACGCGCAATCAACGAGGCAATTGCTTCTCCAACCTCATCCCCTCGTCTTAAAAAGAAGACTGAACTCTTTTCCGCCCAATTCAACACAATCCCACCCTCTGAAGCACTTAGCAAATATGTGCTTTATCTTCACTTGTGGAGAACACGGTACGCACTCTCCCGTTCATCCGGCTCATGCCACCCTTCGCAGAGCTCAACTGACTTCAATTCCTAGAGTTCTCCTCGCAATTGAAGGGTTACGAAAGCGTGTTATGTCAATGCCATAATTGCGTACGCGGCACCCCACTCCCATTGCTTCTTCGTTACTGACAGCTCTCAGGGAAACTGGTCTGCGAGAGTGATAAAGCGCAATCCCTGGTTCACATTCTGCTTCATTCCCGTCATCCCGCTCAGCGTTCACGGCTACGAAGACGTTGTATGCTCGATCTGTAATTTCGCCCAACCGCTACAAAACCGGCAGGATGTGATGGCTCAAATGAATGGGGGCGGGATGCCGCTGCAGAACCACCCGCCTCCTGGCCCACAAGGCTGGGGTGGTGGTCCGCCTGGAGGAGGCCAACCAAAGCCGCAACAAAATATGCAGGTCTACAGATGATACTCAGGATTTGAGACCAGGGATCCCATATTTAAGGATAAGTCATGGCGGGCGATACGTACAATATCACGGATGGTGTCCTTCATGTCATGACCGTCCTAGAGTGGTGATGATTGGACAATCAGGCGTTGTTTGAAATGTGCGACAGTAGGGGTTGGTTGGCGCCACAATGCGAGTTCATTCGGGGGATGGGTACATGCCGGGAATCTATTTCTACACGCGCAGATACGAATACATGGATCACGAAGCGATAACTACGTTCACATAGGAGTTGCGAATTCAAGTCGAGTTAAATTTTTCCATTTTTCAAGCTAATTTAAAAACATCCCCCCACCGTATAGCAAATGATTGTCCCCCGATCCCCCCCATAAAAAAAAGCTAATTAATGTCCATGTTATCACCGCCCGCCCATGGGTTGTAGGCTTGGGCAAACCTGGCAGAGTTGTTGGTTGGGGCACCGCTGGCAGAATTGTTGGCTTGGGTACCGCTGGCAGAGTTGTTGGCCTGGACACCGCTGGCAGAGTTGTTGGCTTGGGTACCGCTGGCAGAGTTGTTGGCTTGAGCACCGTTGGTAGAGTTGTTGGCTTGGTCACCGTTGGTAGAGTTGTTGGCTTGGGCACTGCTGGCAGAGTTGTTGGCTTGGGTACCGCTGGTAGAGTTGTTGGCTTGGGCACTGCTGGCAGAGTTGTTG